TCTAGTGGTGTTAGACTGGAATTTTTTTCCAACTCTTTCAACTTCTTGGGGTTGAATAGTATAAAGGGTAAGATTTTTGCATGGAAATGAATGAAGTAATCACAAAGAAAATGATAACTTTGACTAATTTTGGTTGTGTTTTTTTTCACTAAAATCAAGAATCAAAATTTTGTTTCGGTACACAGTTTCAATGAACTTGGAAACGGAAATATTTTGAAAATATTTTAGAAACAAAAAAATTTAAAAAATTTATTTTCAAAATATTAGTCAAAACATACCGAAATATTTCAAAACATAAGTTGAAACATGCCGAAATATCTCGAAACATAAAAATTCTGATATTCGATCAATAATTCGTTTCAGTCTCCATGAAAATAAAAATGTTACGGACGTTTCGACACAAAATTCTAATATTTTCTAGAAGCCTTGCATGAAATAATATATATAATATAATCTTCTCCAATACATTTTCATTAATTAGGAGACCCCACTCTTTTAGCAAAAGGGCACCAACTTCTTGAGAATACCTTTTATTTACATTGTTGACTACTCTATGCCTTAATATGCACTTGACAGTATTATCAGCCTTTTTTTTGCTTTCTTTCAATTTGCAAATGTGAGTTCTATGAATACAGATAGTTTCATATGGTGCACAAGTTTACGTATTTATGCAGCGTATGTTCTTTTTTCATATAAAATGGTAATTCACTGTACAAGACTCTCGTCATTGTGGGCTATGAATGGTCAAATATATGGTAACATGAATAAAAAATCGAAATTAAACAATAGAAGTTATAACATGTTAATTATCGTAATAATACCAAATTAAAGCCTTCAAAAGTCTTGTTGATTCACGAAGAATACCAAGTCAATTGGAAAGAAAAGAAAGCTCGTCTTCATGTTTATTCAAAATAATACAAATTACTGAATTCAGTTTCTCAACACAATATAAAATATGAAACCCTAATGATTTTAAATTACTAGAAAACCCAAGCAAATAATTAATATTACAGAAATATCCCAAACAATGGGAAAAAAAATTGTAAAGTACATAAAAAGTGGTTGAAAGATACATGTTTCAATGTTGATTAGATTGTCAAGAACTTTTTAGAATGGGGTCTTTCGAAATTTTCTAACACTGTTGCCCAAAATTAATCTTGATTGATGCTCGATCATCGCTACTTTTAATGGTTTTGATCTACCATGTAGTCTTTTGCGATACTTGCTGCATCATTATGCCCTTTGATGTTTGCTGTCACGAGAGATTTAAGCTAACAACAGGACAGGTATACCTGGGGATGCTTTTAATATTCAAAGACAATCCACATAAAGAATATAGTTTTGCTTGCTTTGAATTTGAAGTGAATGTTCACATGGTATGAATCCTTTTGACAGTGAAAGTTTATTCTCCAACCAATTATTTAATACACATTCCCCCACAAGGCTCATCCACCACTTGCCCCCTTTATGTCTTGTTCTGCTAATTTTTTAAAGCTCTCTTTCAACTACTGTCAAGAAACAGAGTTGAAATTTTCTCATCTGCTTTCTTTCTCTGTTTCATTACACAGCTTACAGAGTATCCAAACTCTTTCTAGGAAAGAAAAAAAAAATGGAAATTGAAGACAAAAAGATGTTAAAGAAACATAGAGCAAGACTTCCTCCAAAGAGAGGTGAGATCAAAGCCAAGATATTCAGTAAGTTGGTGAAGATATTGAAGAAGAATGCATTAAAGAGTTGGAAGAAAGAGAGAAGTTGGTGGCAGAAGTTAGGCCAGATAAACACCCATATTTTTTGACCCACGTGACAATTCATATTGCAATCTTATTTGTTTCACCCGTATTGTTCTGTATTTTTTTGGGTATTGTAAGTAAGAGAGAGAGAGAGAGATGTGTGAAAAGAGCATCATTGGACATGAGGGAATCACTTTTGATAAAGTGAATTGAAGAGAGGCTGCCTGTTAAAAGAGAGGAACTTTTGTTGTATCAAGGTAGACTGATTTGCTAAGTAGTAAGAACTATTAATGTAAGGATTCTGCATCCTCTTTTTCTAATGGTCACCCTTCCATTTTTAGTGCAATCAATTTGATCAGAACATCAAAGTATAAAAAAAAATAAAAATTGATCAGAACATCAAAAAATGAGTCTAGTTGTTCTTCGTACAAGAATTTGTTGATTTCTTGGGGCTAGGCTATGATAAATGGCTTGCCTTTGACTAAACTACAGAGGAGATTAGTCGAGGTGCGTATAAACTGGCCGAAACCCTCATGACCGTTGATTAAAAAAAAAAAAAGAATTTGTTGATAGTTATCAAGAAAGTCAATAAAAAGTAGTATCTACCCCCCCCACCCCCGCCCCCCCCCCCCAAAAAAAAA